ATGATGATGAGGAGGAGGCTGATGATGATGATGATTATGGGGATGTGCTTGCTGATGATGTTGGTGATGATGATTAAGGTGCTGATGGCGGTGATGAACATGCTGATGATGATACTGATGCTGATGCTGATGATCATAACAATGGTGATGATGGCTATGATGATGGTGATGATTGTGGGGGTGGGGGTGATGATGATGGTTGTGATGCTGTTTCTGGTGACGGTGATAATGGTCGTGATAATCATGATCATGCTCATGGTGATGTGATGCTGATGATGACGATGTTGATGATGCCGATGATGTTGAGGCTGATCACGTTGATGATGATGCTTGTACTGATGGTGATGATGCTTGTGATGCGTATGAAGGTGGCGACATTGATGGGGATGCGGATGATACTGATGATGGTGGTGATGATGATGATGATGCTGATGGTTGCGATAATGATGATGGTGGCGATGATACTGATAACGGTGGTGATGGTCATGTTGATCATGGTGATACTCATGATGAAGATAATGGTGGTGCTGGTGAGTGTGATGACGATGATTGCTATAGTGCTGATGGTGATGATGGTGATGATCATGATGATGCTGACGATGATGGTGTCGATGATGATGGTGATGATGTTGGTGATGACGATGATGGTGATGGTCATGATGATAAAGATGATGACGATCATGGTGATGATGATAATTCTGATGATGATGGTGATGATGATGATGGCGATCACGATGATGGTGACGATGCTAATGCGAACGCTGATACTGATTGAATTGATGATTCTGGTGATGGGGATGTTGATGATGGTGATGATGAGGATGATGCTGATGATGATGATACTGATGATGGTAGTCATGATCGTGCTGATGATCATAATGTTGATGCAGATGACGGTATTTATCATGATCGTGATTATGCCGGTGATGGTAATGGTGATAACGATAATAATGGTGCTGAAGATGAACATGGTGGCGATGATGTTGATGGTGATTGTGATCGTGATGATAATGATGATGGGTATGATGCTGATGCCAATCCTGCTGATGATGATGCTGACGATCATGTTGATGAAGCTGTTTGTGATGAGGATGCTTGTGTTGAGTATGTTGATGATGGTGACAATGGCGATGCTGATTTGGATGATGGTGATGGGGGATGATGCTGATGACGACGGTTCTGATGATGATGGTGATTATGATGATGATGGTGATGCTGACGGTGATGATGATGCAGATGGTGATGCTGATGATGCTGGTGATGATAATGATATTGATGATGATGCTGGTGGTGACGATGGTGATGGTCATAACCATGATGATGATGACCGTGATGCTGACGATGATGGTGATGATGATGGTGATGATGGTGATAATGATTGTGATACTGATTTGTGCGACGATGATGAAGATGGTGTTGTAAATGATGGTGATGATGATGATCATGCTGATGTGGATGATGGTGATGCAAATGAAGATGACGATGGTGATCAAAATGAGGATTATGATGATGGTGATGATGACGGTCATGGTGACGATGATGATGTTGGTGATGATGCTGATTGCTATGATGCTGATCATGGCGATTATGATGATGATGGTGATGATGATGGTGATAATGATGATCGAACTGGCGTTGATGAGTATAATGATGTTGCTGGTGAGAATGGTGATGATGTTGATGGTACTGATAATAATGATGATCATCAGTATCATTATCATGATGATGATGATGATGATGGCGGAAGTAGTGATGGTGATGATGGAAAAGACGTTGATTATGATGCAGTTACTTGTGGTGATGATGATGACGGTAATGGTGATTATGAAAACGATGATCATATTGATGACGCTGCTGCTGATGATGATCATGGTGGTGATTCTGATGCTGATGATGATGATTATGATGACTCTGATGCTGATGCTGACGATTCTGGTGATGGTGATGGTGATGATGATGATGATGGTGATGATGGCGATGATCATGATGTTGACGATGATGCTGCTGGTGGTGATGATGGGGATTGCGATGATGATGATGGCGATGATGATGGTGCTGATGATGATGATATGGATGGTGGTGAAGATGATTTTGATGAGGTTTTTGTTGATGGTGATGGTGATTGTGATGATGATGAGTGTGATGACGATGGTGATGACGATGGTGATGATGACGATGGTGATGATGACGATGGTGATGATGATCATGATGATCATGATGCTGGTGGTGATGATGGTGGTGGTTATGATGATGGTGATGATGATGATCGTAATGATGGTTGCTGATGATGATCATGATACTGCTGGTGATGATGCTGATGATGGTGATGATGACGGTGCTGGTGGTGGTGATGATGATGATGGTGATGATGGTGATGATCATGATGTTGGCGACGGTGCTGGTGGTGGTGATGATGGGGATAACGATGATGATGGCGATGATGACGGTGCTGATGATGATGGTGGTGATGATGATGGTGATGATTGTTTTTGTTGATGGTGATGGTGATGGTGATGATGATGAGTGTGATGACGATGGTTGACGATGGTGATGATGACGATGGTGATGATGATCATGATTGATCCTGATGATGATGGTGATGATGGTGGTTGTGATGATGATGGTGATGCTGATGATCGTGATGATGATGATGATGATGATGCTGGTGATGATGCTGGTGATGATGCTGATGATGATGCTGATGATGATGATGACGGTGTGCTGGTGGTGGTGATGATAATTATGATGATGGTGATGGTGATGGTGTTGATGACGATGATGGTGGTGGTGATGATGATGATGCTGATGATGATGATCGTGATGATGACGATGATCATGATGATGATCATGATCCTGGTGGTGATGATGACGGTGCTGGTGCTGGTGATGATGATGATGATGACGATGACGATGATGATGCTGATGATTATGGTCATAGTTATGATGGTGCTGATGACGGCGCCACCGCCCCGCCAGGGCGCCGCAAGCGGGGAGCGGGCCGACGGCCTGCCTTCAACCGTGCAGCAGGTGCCTCCGGGTCAGGGCGCCTCGCCGTCGTCGTCGCCCGCAAAGTTCTCGTCGTCGTCGTCGTCTTCGTCGACGTCGTCGCTGTCTGTGCCGTCCTCGTCGTCGTCTTCGACATCGACGACGTCGTCCTCATCCTCTTCCTCGTCCGTGTCCTCGTTCTCGCCATCCCTGGATGACTGGCTCAAGCCGTTCAAGGGGAGCCGTTCTTCCTCCCGCCCGTGCGGGGCTGGGCTTTTCTTCACCCTGAGTGTGAGTGCGCGTCTGCAGCGTATCACCACCCTCACCACTCTCGCACCGTCTGTCGGCGGGTGTTATCCCGTGCCACGTCCTCGTGCTACGTCCCTGCTTGGAAGGCTCAGCGTCGGGCGGCGCGTCACCTCTCCGCCATCCACGCCCAGATGGTGATGCCCCTCCTCTGCGCTCTCGCGCTACGTCCCTGTTTGGGACGTCCAAGCGTTGGGCGGCGTGCCACCTCCCCGCCATCCACGCCCAGACGGCTTGCAGCTGCGGGCATGCATGGGATTCAAAGCGATCCCGCGTGAGGGCCCAGCCGCGCGCGCACCGGCTCCGACCTTACTCCGCCCTGACGCTGCGCGCGAGGCCGAGGCCGCCAAGAGTGTGCGTGTGTGCGTCGTCGGTCCACAGCTCCCCCGTTTGGCTGGCGTGTTGGGTCGGGCCAACCCGGGCGTGGACCTAAACGGTGTTTGGGCGATTTCGTGGGCCGTTTTCGTTTCGATGTCGTTCTGCAGCGAAGACGAATTCAAGACAAAACGAGGGAAAACGAAAGCAAAACGAAAACAAAAGACGCTGTTTAGGTCCAGGCCTGGGCCAGCCTGAGAGCAAGCTGCTCGCAGGGGCAGTCCGCGCAGTGCCAGAAAAGAAAAAACGCCGACGTCGTCGCAACGTGAACCAGCCTTGGCCAGAGCTCTCGCCTCGGCGCAGGTAGGACGCTGGAAGAAAGGATCGATACGGGATCGGAATGGGCTCGCTGTTCGGTAGGTCATTCTTCTAGCCCTCCTCGTGCACGCAGGCGCTTCTGGGGCCAAACCGGGGCTTCGTTCCTCATTTGTCGGTCCTTATTTTGGCAGCCTGACCGTAGCAAAGATGGCGTCCTGCTTTTCACTATGACGGGAAAGGTCCGTTTCCTAAGCCTCCCGCCCCTCCAGTGATGTGATCCATGTTTTTGTTTGAAATTTTGTATATCTGGATTTCCATATCTCTAGGTATTTGAAGCGCCTTCTTTTTTAACGATCGATGTCTTGACTTATAGCTCCTTGGATTCCGAATCGTATCATATTGGGCATCCCTTGGTTCTCGATTGGGTTCGTAGTTTGGCCTTCAAGGGCCTTTCTCAAGCCACGCTGGGGCCTCAGAAGCAATCCAGAAGCACACGTTCGAGAAGCAATGCGTTTGTACGTTTCTTCGTTTGCTTGGCAGTTTTACCTCTTGGGTGCGTCCTTGGCTTGGAGCCTTCCTGGTGGCAGTTTGAGTGATGATTGTCCTCTCGGGCCAGCTTCATCAGCTCTATCTGGGACCGTTTGGGAAGCCATCTTGGGCCAAGACGGACCCTCTGACTCCTCGCGGCCCCGCGGCCTCGCCCGTCCAGACCCCTTGGGATGGGTTGGGACAGGAGTAGCAAGGCCGCCCTCGAGGGCTCGAAGTTATTCGCGCTTCGCGCTTCGCGGTTCGGCTCCGATTCCTCCTCATCCTCCTCTTTTCCCCTGGGAGGCGGCGCGAGAGCGCGAAGTTATTCGCACTTCGCGCTTCGCGCAGCGCGAAGCGCGAAGTTGGGAGCCCTTGGGAATGATGCAGCACCTGCGCTGAATGAGGGCTGGCGTTCTGTTTTTGACCCTGCTTCTGGCAGCATTTCGGCGTGGAGCGTGATGTCAAGTGTAGTTGGCTCAGTTCTGCCACGTGCGCCAGGCCAGCGACGCTCCCGCGGAAACGCGGCCCGTTAGCGCGATCCCTCGGCCATGGTGTGCGCTCTTGGCCCATGGGCGCCGAGACGGGTGCTGCGGAGGACCGCGGCATCTCTGGCGCTGCTGGCCTGGCCCTCCACCGCCACCGTGGACCTGGTCTACATGAACACGTCCGAGGGCGCCGCCCTGATCAAGGGCGCGAGCCACGATCGGCCTTACTGGCAGGTCGCCCCGGTCTTCACCACCGAGCTCCCCGGCATGTGCGGGCCGACCACCGCGGTGATGCTGCTGAACGCGCTCGCCTCTCAGGGGCTCAGCAGGCCCCTGTCCAGGGAGTTCTCCGCCTCCTTCGGGGGCAGGGTGTTCCCGAGCTACTACTGGGACCAGGAGAACGTGTGGAACGGCAGCGCGGCGCCGTGCGTGGCGGCGGGTACGCAGCCGTATAAGGGGTCCCTGGAGCAGGTGGGGGCCTTCCTGTCCTGTCGAGGGCTGGAGGTGCAGGCGGTCCGGGCGGCGAACTCCTCCACGGACGAGTTCCGCGCGGCGATTAGGGGAACAAAAAGTGGCATAAACATAAAAACTCGGAGGTCCGCGCAGATTTCTCGGATCGGCGCTGGGCCCCCCCGGCGGCGCCTCCGGCGCCGCCCTTGGCACGCTCCGCGCGCCAGGGAGGGGGGTCCAGCGCCGATCCGAGAAATCCGCGCGGACCTCCGAGTTTTTACGTTTATGCCACTTTTTGTTCCCCCAGCGATGGTGCAGGCGTTTGAGCACAGTCCCCTCCGCTTCGTCGCCGTCAACTTTGCCAGGCCCCTGCTCGGGCAGGCTGGCCTGGGGCACCACAGCCCCATCGGCGCCTACGACCGCGCCTCGGACCGTGCCCTGGTAATGGACGTGGCGCGGTACAAGTACGCCCCCGCTTGGGTGAGGGTGCCTGACCTGTTCGAGGCGATGCTGGGCGACGTCTCCCCGAAGTCGAACTTCAGCACGCCCAGGGGCTACCTCGTAGTCGGGATGCCGCCAGGCCCGAGCCAGGCCGTGCTGCTCACGTGAGCAGAGCACGGCCCCGCGTGGCCCCTGCCACTCGCGGCCGGCTCTCGCCCTGCCAGGGGCCGCCGCCTTGCTCCCAGCGCTCCGACGACACGATGTTTCAGCTCCCAGCCATTCTTCACGACCTCGGCCTCCGGGGCCCGTTGACGGGACGAAGCACTCTCCCCGGGGAAGCGGCTGGGACCTCCCTGGGGCCGCGCATTGAATCGAAGAAGACAGAACTATCTAAACATACACTTGCTCTCCGCGTTTCCTGGATCCGCGCCCGGGACCCGCTGGCGGCGCTTCCGGCGCGGCCCCTGGCGCGCTCCGCGCGCCAGGGAGGGGGGTCCGGCGCGGATCCAAGAAAGCCTCGCGGAGCGCCAACAGCTTTTGTTCATGGCGTTTTTGTTTCCTCTTCTAGAGGTGGCTGGGACCGCTGGGGCCGCGCGCTGGATAAAATCCCACCGTCGGATGTCTGGGCTCTTCGTCTTCTTCTGCTCGCCGGCTGCCCGGGCCTCGCAGAGGGGAGCCAGTCCGCTGGTCCCTGGACAGGTCGGCGGCTCCCGTGCTCGTTGCCGCGGCCGCTGCGGCCTGCGGCCCCTGCCGCCGCCGTGCCTGGGCTGCCCGTTGGGCCCTCACGGGGTGCCTCTCAGAGGCCTGCTGGAGGCTTGGGCCCCGTGTGGGGGGTCTCTTCGGGGCCTCTCGGGTCGGGGGCCTCTGAGGGGCCCCTTAGAGGCCTCCTCTGAGGTCCCGCGCAGGGACCTCTTGTGGCCTCCTGGGCGCTTCAGGGGGTCTCCTGGGGGGCACGTTGGGGGTCTTCTTGCAGAGGGAGCTTTGGGGGAAAAGGTTTTGAGGCCCCTTTGCTTTCCTCCCCTTTGGCCCTCCCTGGGACGCCTTTGGAGGATTCTTGGTCCTTCTTGGGAGTCCCCTGGGCCACCCTTTGGGGCCCTCTTAGGCCTTCTTGAGGCCCCCTTTGGGGTATCTTGGACCGTCTCGGGGCGATCTTGATGCCTCTTGAGCCGTCTTTGAGCGTGGGAGACCCGTAAAGGCGAGACCGCTAAACATCATTCAAACATTTAACCGGGGCCACCGTTTGCAATTTTCTGAGGGGGCCCTCTTGGACGCCCCCCTTTGCATGTTTGGGGCGTCTTGAGGGCCTCTTGGGCCATGATGCAATCTTGATCGTCTTTGAGCGCATTATGGTCGTCGTCTCAGAGCCCTCTTGAGCCGTCTTTGTGCATCTTTTGATCCTCTTGGACCATCTTCGCGCTGTCTGGGTTCAGGAAAGGTCATTCGACAAGCCCCCAACACGCGACACACCCCGAGAGTCACGCGATCAGCACCGGGAAATCGGGCACTGGGGTCTCTGAGCCCCTTGATGGGGCATTGGCAATACTGCTCAAGGCTGAGGGTTGAAGACTCTTGAGGACTTGATGGCACGCCAGCCCATGCCTCGCGGCCGTGCTCGGTACGCAGCCGCTGAAGCCACCACTGCACCACCGTTGTCCCCGCTGTGTCTGGCCAAGGCCATCCTGGGCTTCAGGATGGCAGCTGCTGTGTTCGCGCCTCACGCTCGCGAGTCTTGCCACGTGGTCCAGATCGGCCGTGTGCATAATTGCCGTTCTGAGAGCTGTTGCAAGTTTGCGAGCTGCGCATATCTTCGCGCGGCTGGCGCCATGTGACCTGGTCCATCCCCTGAGTGTGCGGGGCCAACTACGGCTCGCCTGCAGAAAAGTAAGCTCGGCAAGCGCAGAAGAAGGCGCCGTCCGCCTCACTGCATGACATGATCTAGTTTCACAGTGCACTTCGGAGATACTACATTCAGCCCCCGTGCGAAGATCGTGAGGCTCCGGTCCGGGAGGATCTGTATGCGACTTGGAGGAGCAGGAGGAGGAGGAGGAGGAGGAGGAGGAGGAGGAGGAGTGTGCTGGTGCGCACCTGAGTGGCACGGCACTGGTTGGCCCACTCCTGCTGGCAAGGCTGCCCCTGGTCCCCCAGATGCCGATCGGGCGTGCACTTCCCGATCCCCTCCCAGCCGGGGCGCCCCCGTCTCAGTGTGCTCTCGCCTCTCTCCCAGTGCCCCTCTCTCCACCTTCGCCCCACAATCTCGCAGGTCTAGAGGTTGACACCAACACCAATATCGGCGGTGTGCCTCCATCGAGGGAAGACGATCCCGAATTCGGTGATGGTGGTAACAGTCTGGCTTCAAAGGTGGCAGAAATATTACCACCAACACCGAAATCTAGGATCACCTTCCCCCTGTGGAGGCACCCCCCCGTGTTGGTGTTGGTGTCCTTTTTCCCAGGCCTCCTACACTCTCTCTTTCTTTCTCTCTTCCTTTCTCTCTCTCTCTCTCTTTTTTTCTCCGTAAGGGCTTCGCCCCCTGCCGCTGGCCCCCTCTCCATCGGCGCTGCCCTGGCGCACGTGAGGACAGCATGCGGGGGCGGATAGGAGTCATCAGCGCATATTGAAACGTTGGCGTTATCGAAGACACCTACGGCGAATCACCGCCGCCCCCTGCCTTTTTGGAAGCGCCTATGTGGCCGAACGTTGAGGCCAGACCTGCCAAGCTATCGGACCATGTGTTCCCCGAATCGGTTTGGAAAGCCTTCGGGGAACACGTGGGCATCTTGACGGTCATCTTGGCCGTCTGTAGGCCATGTTGACCTTTTCGGGCCTTCTTGGAGGACGTCTTGGAGGGCTCTTGGGCCGTCTTGGAGGCCATCTTGAGCGTCTGGGAGGCCTCTTGGGCCGTCTTGGGGGCCTCTTGGGGCCGTCTTGGGCCTCTTGGGCGATCTTTGGGAGCACTTGGGCCGTCTCGGGCCGTCGGAAGGCCGAGCAAAAGCAAATGCCACAATCCTTCAAAAACCCATGGGAAATCAATGAATTGGGCCTTTTCGAGCCTTCCTGGAGGCCCTCTCGGAGGCCTCTTGGGCCGTCTTGAGCCATCTTAGGGCCATGTTCGGCCGTCTTGGTGGGCTCCTGGTCCGTCAGACGCCGTCGGAAGCCGTTGGGGGGCCTTTCTGGGCCGACTTGGGGTCCCCTTGTATTGCTCCAGGGCCGTCTTGGAGGCCACCTTGGGGCGTCTTAAAGGCCTCCTGGGCCGTCTTGGGGGGCTCTTGGGGTCGTCTTGGGGCCCTTTTGGGCCGCTCTGGAGCCATCTTGGAGGTCTCTTGGGCGATCTTTGGGCGATCTTTGGGAGCCTCTCGGGCCTTCTCGGGCTGTTGGAAGGCCGAAAAGTTGCAAATGTCAAAATCCTTCAACAAACCCATACACATACATGTTTTTGGCCTCTTCTGGCCCTCTTGGAGGCCTCTTGGACCGTCTTGGGCCAGCTTCGAGCCACCTTCGGCCATCTTGGTGGGTTCCTGGCACGTCTGACGCCGTCGGGAGCCGTCTTGGGGGCCTTTCTGGGCCGACTTGGGGCCCTCTTGGGGCGCTTCGGGGCCGTCTTGGAGGCCATCTTGGGCGTCTTGGAAGCCATCTTGGGCGTGTTGGAGGCCTCTTGGGGTCGTCTTGGGGCCCTCTTGGGGCCGTCTTGGAGGCCTCTTGGGCCGTCATGGGGCCCTCTTGGGGGCCTCTTGGGCGATCTTGGGGGCCTATTGGGCCGTTTTGGGCAGTCGGAATGCAGAGAAGAAACACATTCCAAAATCCTTCAAACATCTAAGGAACATCAATGATTTTGGCCCCTTCGGGCCCTCCTGGACCCCTTGGAAGCCTCTTGGGCCGTCTTGGAGGCGTCTTGGAGGCTTCTTGGGCGAACTTGGGGTTATCTTGGACTCTCTGAGGCCGTCTTGGAGGCCGTCTTGGAACATATTCGGCGGACTTGGAGGCCACCTGGGACCATCTTGGAGGCCATCTTGGGCCAACGTGGCCATCTTGGGAGGCCATCTTGAGCCGTCTTGGAGGAACATTGGGCGTCCTATGGGTCTTGCGGGGGCTCCGGCAAGACGGGCCGAAGCGCCAGGGAGATCTCCAAAGCCAAAACCGTAAGAAGTCCAGCACGCCAGGCACTCCTGTGATGAATCAACGGGGCGGCGGCGGCGGAATGGGCCTTTGGCCCATTCCGCCACCGTCCCTGGGTTATGTGTCTGAGGCCTCTTGTAGATGTGTTGGGGTGTCGTGGGGAGCCTCTTGGGGGCCTCTTGGGGGCGGTTTGGGCGCCTCTTGGGGGCCTCTTGGGGCCTCGTGGGGTATCTTTTGGGCTTCTTGGAGGCCTCTTGGGCGCGTCTTGGGCGCCTCTTGGGGCCTCTTGTAGGAGATCGTGGCCTCGGGGGCGCGAATGGCGCGATTAGGGATCGTGGCTTCGGGGGCGCGAATGTGGTGTAATGTACGCGGGATCGTGGCCCTGGAGGCGCGAATGCGGTGTAATTTATGGGAGATCGTGGCCTCGGGGGGCGAACGTGGTGTAATTTACTAGGGATCGTAGCCTCGAGCGTGCGACTGTGGTATAATTTACGCGGGATCGTGGCCCCAGAGGCGTCTTGTGCAAGGTTCCTTGTGGTTGTTTTTTTGGGCGTCGGCTCTATGAAAGAAGCACGCATGATGTTCGTAGATCAGCGGGGCACTCTACGTCATTTCTCGAGGGTTCGACGAATACATAAATTCTGGAGTACATCGATTCTGTAGTCGATTTCGTACTTGAATCACCCCCGCCGCGCTCATCGAGAAGCGTGGGGTGTGGTCCCAGAAGCGGGATCGAGGAGGAGGAGGAGGATGGTTGGCTCCAGCCAAAAATACGAGTAGCAGCCGCTCTGCGGTTGATCGGGAGTTTCTGTGTATTTGAGAAGGGGCGCGCGCGGAAGGCGGTGGTGCGGCGGTGAGGATGAGGAGGATAAGGATCAGCACGGCGAGGCTCGCGAGGGGGAGGATCAGGCAAGTGAGAGTCACGCGGCTCATTTGTAGGCAAGCGTGGAGCAGGAGCGTGAGAAAGTGGAGAATGAGGGCCAGGAGGGCGAGGATCAGGATAGTGAAGATCAGCAAGAGGTGAGGATCGGGCGAGTTTGGAGCAGGAGAGGGAAGATCGGCAGGGTGAGGATCGGCAGAGTGAGAATCACGAGAGCGAGGATCAGGATAATGATAATGAGCCATGAAGAGGGTGGGGATCAGGATCGTGAAGCATAAGCAGGAGGGTGAGGGTGAGGAGAGCGAGAATCAGGAGAGTGAGGATCATGAGGGCGAGGATCAGAAGGGCGAGGGCCATGAGGGGGGCCATCAAGAGGGTGAGAGTCAACATTCCAAGGAGCTACCTTATCACTCCTCCTCCTCATCCTCCCTATGCCCCTGCCTCTTGCCTCCTTCGCCTTTCCCCCCCCCCCCCCCTCCTGCCTTTCGCTCCTGCCTCATGCGCTTCCCTCATCATTATCTTTTTCCTCCTCCAACTGCTGGGGGCCTCCGTCGGCGAGCGATTCGACGACCTTTCAAGGATGTCTCGAGCAAGAGCCCCGGACTGGGACCTCCGGGATGCTCTCCATCAGCTTCTCGTCGAGAGCTTTATGCGGGCGCCCGGATCCAGACCGCTCCGAATGGCTGCCGGGGGCCCGAGTTACAACCCGAAGCCACCAGGCGCCGCAGCGGGGTGCGAAGACTAGGCGTGTTTGGTTTTCAAAGCACACCACATTGCAAAGCAATGCAGATCAATGCAAAGCAACACAAAGCATTGCGAAGCAATGCAGAGCGGGCGGCGACGAGGCACAACATCATACTTCGGAGGTCCGGGCGGACTTCTGGGATCGGCGCCGGACCCCCCTCTGTGGCGCGCGCACGGACCTCCTCCCTTTTCTGTTCATCCGGAGTTCCACAGAGCAGCCGAGGTGGAAGGCATCTCGAGGCGGGAAGACCTCCGAGGGCCAGCGGAGTCGTCCACGGACACTTTTTTTTTTACCTGCACGGAGGAGCCCAGTGGCACGACGGACGACGGACGAACGAAGGACGACGACGAAAAACGACCAGAGAGCGCGCGAGGGGGGGAGGGGCGAGGGGGAAAGGGGAGGAGGGCCAAGGGGGGGCACGGGGGCACCCGCGCGCGCAACGCCAGCCCCTCACCCCTTCCTCCCTGGTCCCGCATTCCTGGATCCTTCGTCCTCGACCCTCGCCTACCCCAAATCCACCCTCTTCGGTCCTCAGCCCTCGATCCTCCTTCTTCGAACCTCCCTCCTCGACCCTCTGACCTGGGAGGAGCAGGAGGAGGAGGAGGAGGAGGAGGAGGAGGAGGAGGAGGAGGAGGAGGAGGAGGAGGAGGAGGAGGAGGAGGAGGAGGAGGAGGAGGAGGAGGAGGAGGAGGAGGAGGCGGAGGAGGAGGAGGAGGAGGAGGAGGAGGAGGATTCGCCTAGCGGAGGCGCCGGCGCCTGCGCGGCCGCCGCCGTGAGCCCCCCCTTCACCACGGGCGGGCGCGCCGCGGCCCCGCCTTCCAGAGCAGCCTCGAGAGTGGGATCCTCGGCGGGCGCGCGCGCGGCGCGGCGGGCGGCACTGCCCGGCGCGGCGCGGCGTGCCAGCGCTCGGCGCCAGCGCTCGGCGCCGGCCCTCGGCGACCGCCCTCGGCGACCGCCGCGCGTCGCCTCAGCTCGGCGGCCGTGCCTCCGACGGAGGCTGCGCCTCGGCGCGGCCTCGTGCCCGCTCGGCGCTCGTCGTCGTCTTCGTCGCCGCCGTCCTCGTCGTCGCTGTCGTTGTCGTCGTCGTCGTC